TCGGGAGGGAGTTCCACCTCCTCAAGCTCTTGGCCCACTGTAGCTGCCTTTTCTGCCAAGTGTGCTCCACTTTAGTCTGGAGGTCTAGCCAGAGCAAGGAGGATCCTCTCAATCTGGATTTAGAGCAACTCTTAAAACCTGCAAGGCAGGGCCCAACTTTTCCCAGCTCTACTAATAGGAACAGATTGCTGACACTAGGTGCATGCAGGAGGTGCAGTGAAGCAGTGGAGGGGAAGCTGGTGCACCCAGCCCTGCTGTGAGTCATCATGGCCATGGGTGCACAGTGAGTTGGGCTTCCAGTGAGGAGACCTGGCTCTGGCCACTTGGTCCTGGAAAGTTATCTCCCTGGATCCTTTCCCATGGAGGGAGGCATCTGGAACGGCATCACACTTCTCAATCTGACGTAGGCCTGGTGCCTTGAGCCACCTACCTGTCCCCAGGGTCCAAAAGGGCTCTGGGCAAAGTTCCCCTTGAGTGTCCCCTGTGGCTCAAGGGCCCTGGGTCCTGGGCCCCGGCCCATCCGTGTCTACGCTCCACGCTGCTCCCACTGCCAAGTGGGACTGTGGCCTCCACACCTGAGTTGACCTTGGATTAGAGAACTGTTAGGCCAGTCCTGCCTCCCAAGCATTGGCTGGCAGGGCAAAAGGTGGAGTGGACAGACAGACAGTGGACAAACAGCGGACAGGAGATGGCTGGCTGAGTGTAACTACATTCACTGGGATGACCCATTGGAGGAGGAAGGACAGGTATCCACGGTTGCAGACTTTGCAGCACGTGTGGGCAAACTCAAGGAAGGTATGGCTAAGGGTGGAATTTGATTTGGCCACTTGCGACTAGATCCCCCCAAATACACAGATAAACCACTTTCACCCAGGAGACGTAGTGGGCCTTCACCAGATGTAATTACACGCAGACAGGTGCACAGAGCGAGTTGATGACACAGAGTGCAAAAAGGGGCCCCTACTTGTATTCCTATAGATGACAGTTTCCTTTTGGGGATGGCCTCAGGATGGGATTCGGAGCTGGTCAGTGTCCCTTGTTCACTCTTCAGAGCTGCATATTTTGGGGGTGGTTCTGGGGCCTCAGAAGCTGAGGTGACTCCACCCCGTGTCACACTGGGCGGTCGAGTACTGCTGTCCAGGCTGTCCGACGAGTTGCTCAGGCCCGACTGGCTTGTCACCTCACTCTTGTGGTCCTGGCTGTCCAGGTAGGTATCCTGGGCAGACTCAGTACTGCTCTGGACCGTGACTGAGATGAAGGGCTTTGATGTGGTACGTGGAGGGACCGGTGGTGGGGTCTTCTTATACGCTACTAGGCATGATGAACCTGCAGATGGATGAGAGGAGGGCAAGGGACAAGGTGAGGCCCCCCAACTCTCTTAAACCCCTTTCAAGTCTGAAGCCCTACCTGACCTGGCTGTAGCCCTGGCCTCAGCAGTTCCCTCAGCAAGGATTTCTGGAGCAGGAGAATGAGGATTAGACATAGCAATGACCAAGACAGACATAGGCCCTGGACACCCTCATGCTAGGTGCCAAGGCCAAGTCTAGTGGGGGAAGCCAACGTGGACCAAAGACACCCTCCACCTCACCTCAGTCACACACAACGGTATTATCTGGCTGTGGAATGGGCTAGGAGGTGAAATTCATGGTGCCAGAGGCTGTGACAGAGCCTGACAGGGGAGGCAGTGACAACAGAGTGAAGGTCAGGACGGCTAAGGAATGGTTGACCTTGCTTTCCTCAGGCTCACTGAGAGACCTACTGTTCCCTGCTACTGCTCCTTTCCTTCTACTCTACCTTCCCTCTACCCCTGCTCTCTCTACTTGGATGTCCCATCTATGTCTGAGCAAAGACCAACACATCCCTCAGGACCCAGCTAACCCTTTTCCCATCTTGCCATTCCCATCCCACCTCCTCCTCTTGTGTGAAAACCTATACACCAGTTGCCTCCCTCAAGACACCATCACATCTGGTCTGACTTCCCGTTCTCCACCAAGATTCAGGGAACCAGGACCTGCCATGGGTGGGAGTTGATGTAATCTTTGAATCCCATTCCCAGCGTGTCCTAGGGCTGGCTCACAGCAGGGGCACAAAACACCAAAGGCCCACAGATGGCTTCTTAATGCTGAACTTTTTGCCCAAAATGGAAGGTGCTTTTCTTTTTTTTAAATGTGTTTATTTTTTTGAGAGAGAGGAAGGGAGAGGGATAGAAACTGAAGCATCTATGAGAACCATCAATCAGCTGCCTCCTGCATGCCCCCTCCTGGGGATTGAATCTGTAGCCTGAGCATGTGCCCTAATCAGGAATAGAACCAGTAACCTTTTGGTTTAGGGGCCGACACTAACCACTGAGCAGACTGGCCGGGCTGGAAGGTGCTTTTCAAACAGCAGGAGCTACTTGCTGTGAGGGGCTGAGTTAGATCCAGTGTTTTTTCTCAGCATCTTAACCTCAACGGCCTTTTCCTCATGAGGACTGGAACAAGCCTCTCCATGGGTCCAGGCCATGCTGAGAGCAGGAGCCAGATGAGTGAGGTTAAGCCTAACTTCAGGGAGCTACCAATTATGGAGAGGGCGAAGGCCCAATGGAATCTCACAAAACGAGGCCCAGGTGCCACAGGGGCTATGGACAAGACACAAAATCTCTCCATCTGTCACTATGGATTATCACTAAACAAATCTAACAGAATGGCTAAAATGAAAAACAGTGACAACACCAAATGCTTGCAACAATGAAGAGAAACTGAATCACACATACTGCTAGTGGAAATGTAAAATGACATAATCACCCTGGAAAATGGTTTGGCAGTTTCTTTTAAAACTAAGCATGCAATTACCATACAACCCAGCAATTTACTCTTGGGCATTTATTCCATAGAAATGGTAAAGTGTTCACAAAAACCTAAATGTTCATGGCAGCTTAATTTGTAATCACCCAAAACTGGAAACAACCTAAATGTCCTTCAGTGGGTGAATAACAGTAAGAAACTGGTACATCCAGACTATGGAATACTACTCAGCAATAAAAATAAATGAACTATTGATGTAAGCAATAAGTGAATAATGCCGAGTGAAAAAAAGCAATCTCAGAAAGTTACATACTGTATACTTTTATTTAAAAAATTCTTGAAATCGCCTGGCTCAGTGGTTGAGCGTCAACCTATGAACCAGGAGGTCACGGTTCGACTCCCAGTCAGGGCACATGCCTGTGTTGCAGGCTCGATCCCCAGTAGGCGGTGTACAGGAGATAGCCAATCAATGATTCTCTCTCATCACTAATGTTTTTGAAATCACCTAATTATAGAGACGGGGAACAAATTGGTGGTTGTGGGGCAGCTTGGGGGAGAGGGTGATGGACAAGAGGTGGGGATGTAAGTGTGGTTATAAGAAGGTGACAAGAGGAATCCTTTTGTGTGTTAATTGATGGAACTGTTGTATCTTGACTGTGGATACATGAACTTGCACAGGTGATGAAATGACAAAAAACTAAATACATGCACAGTGATTACACAGGCTGTATCACAGGGGTTAAGGCTCAGACAGGCCCAGGGCTGGCATGGCTCCTACTGGTTTCTGTTATAGGGGTGGGAGCCAAAATTTTACCACTCCCCAGCCACTGGTAGGGAGGATGGGTGGTTCTCTGATTAGCTGAGGGGCAGTTTCCCCGCAAGAGCTGGACATTGAGAGCGGAGTGCTGAAGTCAGGACTCACTGGGGATTTCAGGAATTGATTTGTCTGTGTTTAGGGATCTGTGTGGAAAAGGGAACCTCCCCACCCCAGGATACAATGGGGTTGCCCACAGTCTGGGGTCTGGACTGAATGAGGACTAACTTTCTAATCTCGCTCTCAGGGTTGTCTAGGCCCAGAGTCCTTCTGACGTATTCTCAGAGGCCGTAAGCCCTGGCTGAGGCAGCCACTCAGACAGAAAGCAAACTATTGGGAGGCCAGGCCAGATGGCCAGATGCGATAAAAGGAAAAGTGAACTTATCTTGGATTCTCTGTCTCCTGGGGCACAGGTCCCAGCCAGATAGGCAGTGCAACTAACAGAGAGGATTTCGGGGCCTCATGGGCTCTCTGGGTGGCAGGCATCCCTTGGCTATGAGCACTGTCCTCCCCAGGGCATGGGGATGGGACCTGACTGCATAGGACACCTCTCATTTCACATGTGTGAAATACACAGGCCATCGCCTCCCCAGCCCCTTCCAACATCACACTCCAGCCATCCTGTGTTTCTCATACCCATTATACTTCCTCCCAGCTTTATACATGTTCTTTCTGCCTGGAAAGCTTCTCTCACCTCCTCACGTTTCAACTGTCACATCCTCAGAGAGGCCTCCTTTGATGCCCTCTACTCTCATATCACTCAGGATCTCCGTCAGAGGACCTATCACATTTGTCTTAGCTCATTTAGGGATTTGCTTGATGATTATAGGACTAGAACAGTGGGGGAACTCTTGTCTGTCTTGGCACAGCAGGTCGTAATCTCAGGCCAAGAGTAATACTTTAAGTACAGAATGCTCTCAATAAATATTTGTTGGATAATAAAATTAATCTCATCATTGATACAAACCCTGCACCCAGTTCCCAAAAGTCACAGTTATTTAGTGAAATCTCCCAGCACTTTAGTATCCAAGGTTCTAACTGCCTCCCAAATTTGGACAATTTTGGTTTGGTCCTATTCACCTATCTGTGCAGTTTCATTTCCTGTCCTCCCACTCCCCAGCATGCTTCTTGCGGCATCAGAGAGCCAAATGCACTTTCCCAAACACAGCTCACTCTTCATGCACCCCAGCCTTTGCACATGCACTTGTTTCTGCCAGAATTCCTTTTCATGTCCTCCCTGATTCTCATACTTCAGCCAGTTCTTCACCCTAAGTTCTTTCTGGCTCAGGCAGAGTCTGCCCCTTTCCTCTCTTTGTGGGTCAGCTGGAGCACTCAGGGCTGTGGCCATGATTCTGAGTGTGTCCTGTGTGTGTCAGTGGACCAGTGTCCACCCAGAAATGCACAACCAACATTTGCCAATTAAACTTTAGAAGAAGCAAGTGCCCCAGAGACCTAAGATGTTGGACTTGGCCAGACTGTGACTATTGCCCTTCCTGCCCTAGGGAGACATTGTATGTGCCACAATTAACCCCTTGGCACATAGGTCCAACTCTTTGTCCATTCACTCTGGAAGACTTTCAGATTTGCCTTGGAAGCCTAGAGGTGAGCATCCCTCCAGTGTGACCATCTCCTCCAGCTGGTCCTTGTGTTTTATATTTTCCGAGATCCTGAATGAAGCATTGCTGAGCCACGGCAGCAGGTGTACACTGAACCACCACCCCCAGGAGCCACATGCTTCCCTTCCCCCATCGTGGCCATGCCAATCCCTCATGCCAAGGTTCAGACAGAAGCCAGTGTGTGACGCCTCCTCCATGCAGCCTGTCCTGGCCATAGACATCCAGCCCAGACTCCCTGCCCCACACTGTATAAGTCCTTGCTTCTTCTAATGAGTCCTTTTGTCTCATTTCTGCCTCTGCCCCAAGATTTTATCCAGCAAACCCTATTTATTATGCCACAATAAATTTTGTTTCTGCATTTTGTTTTTTAATGTCAAGGTGTATAAGATGGCTAAACAGAGCTTCAGACGTTCAGAAAAGGGGCTATGACTGGAAGACACAGCAAACCCAGGGAGCTGGCCCTCTGCATGTGCCTTGGAGGTCAAGATGCACTTGCTAGTAGTCCTGAGGCCTAGCATAGCCCTTGTGCTTGCTGGTTCCCAGGGGCCCTAACTGGGCAGGGGACTGAAGAAGAGGTCTAGAATAGGGATGGATGCAGGGGACCACAGACTGTGGGAGCCATGACAGGAGGCTTTGCAGAAGAGGCAATGGGGCCCACTCAAGGCCCCACATGAAGGGACAGAGCTGGACACAGAGCCAGAACTCCTTAAACTCTTTTTGCTGCCTCTGCCAACCTTAGGAATAGGCTTTTCAGAGGGAGGCTGAGGACCTATAAGATCCCATGCCCTCACTCACTGCATAACCCAGGGGTGGGCAAACTTTTTGACTCGAGGGCCACAATGGGTTCTTAAACTGGACCGGAGGGCTGGAACAAAAGCATGGATGGAGTTAACCTGTCAAACCACACAGCTAAATCCAGCAACTCATTTGTATATGGTATAAATAGTACTGAAGACTCCCACCCTAACAGCCTCAAA